GAAGAGAGGCCCGGACAGAGCCTCAGCAGCCATCCAAGGTTAACAGGCGTGACCTGGATGAAGAATCAGGAAAAGGAATGGTCACACAGGGAGGAGGAGAACCAGGAGAAAACAGTGTCACCAAAGCGAGAGAAGATGGTGCCATCAGCCATGGCAGAGCTTGCAGAAAAAGGAGGAGGATCAAGACAAGGCCATTACATTTGGCAATTAGGAGATCATTGGCGACTTTGGAGAGAGCATTTTCGTTGAATGATGAGGCAGAAGTCACATTACTGAGAATTTAGAAGTGAGTGAGAAGAGAAAATATGGAGGCCCTTAATGTGGAGGGCTTGCTCGAGGAGCAGGGAGGGGGAAGAGAGATACAGGACAGGAGGTAGTGGCCATGGGGAGATGAGCAAGCCGTGGGTGTGTTTGTAGGCAGCAGGGAAGAAGTCAGTAGACAGGGAAAGATTGGAGGTTGGAGAGGGGGAGAGTGAGGATGGTAGAGACTGCAGTCTGCTGGAATTAACAGAAAGGACCGAGCTCCAAGGTACATGTGCAGCTACCTTTTCATGTGAGACAGGAATGATGGAGGAGATATTGGGGCAAGTCTGAGGAATAGTGTATGAAAGCTCCCTGGCTCTGTGTGTTTCAGTGCCCATACCTTGGGTGGCCTTGGGGTTTCCTCCCCCAGAATGCCTGCCTCTACCTCCTCCCCCGTTCTACTAGTCTGATTCCTGACTAATGTGGAAGGCCCAGCTCAGCTGCTCCTTCCTCCCTGAACTCTGAAGTTGAGGAAGTTCTCCTTCTTTTGAATATCTCCTGCATTTTGTATTTCTCCTAGTGTATTTTCTACCAGTTGTCAACTTGTTCTAAAGTGAAAACTCCTTGAGGGCAGGGGCCTGTTTCATTCTTGTCTTTGTGTCCTCAGCCCCTAACACACAGCCTGGCACATAGTAGGTGCTTCATAAATTCTTGTTGATTCCTGTCTCTCCTTGAGGATAGGGACCAGGTCTTGGCCATCTTCCTGTCTTCCACAATGCCTGTAACCAGACTTTCAGGCCCTTGATATCTGTTGAATGACCAGATTAATAAATGTATAAGATGATGGTCCAGAAGTGTTTGTTTTTGAAGGGGGCAAGATAAAGAAGCCAGTGCTGGGAAGAAAGCTGTGTCGCCAGAGTCTTGAACAGTAACCCACCCTCTTCAGGCAGTCAGCAGGCATTTATTAAGGGCTATCATGTGCCCAGCACTGGGAATACAGTAACAAAAAAGGAAACGGCCTCTGCCTTCATAGAGACTTTACTCTATTTAAGGCAACAACGTCTATATGTAGAAGTGATAGGTAAAAAAATAAATACCAAGGGGCAGCTAGGTGGCACAGTGGATAGAGCACCAGCCCTGGATCCAGGAGGACCTGAGTTCAAATCCGGCCTCAGACACATAACACTTACTAGCTGTGTGACCCTGGGCAAGTCACTTAGCCCCATTGCCTAACCAAAAAAAAAAACCCAAGTAAATACAAGGTGACCAAGGCTGGGGAGGGCATGAGTAGTTGGGGGGATCATGAAAAGCTCAGTGAAGAAAGCAGCCTCGGAGTGGAGTTCTTTGATGGTCCCACGTTACAAACCATGGAGAAGCAGCCATTGAGCTTTTGGATTTTTTCCTCTGTTCATTTTAAGTGCTTGCAGTCGGGGAAGAGATTTCACAAATCCAAATGGTGTGAAAACAACTTGTGAGATTCGCTGGGCGTATGGTGAATCCTCATGTAATGAGCCCCAGAATATACTGAGATGGCACCGCCCACACCCGCCTTGACACGAGATTCAGCGAGCAATGTGTTGGAATTATAATCTCAATATTTCTTTGGCACACCCATCACCATCCTTCGCCCCCTCTGGTTTCCCTACTGGTGCCCCTGGCGAACCAGCTGCCCGCTCTTGGGTTCCTGCTGCCACCTAGTGTCCCTATTCTGAACTGCAGTGGGCTTGCCTCTTGCAAGACGTAGTGGGTGCATAATGTGGTTTGGGGAAAGGATTTAGGAAGCAGGCAACAGTTGGGCTTTGCTAGATTTCTGAAGAACACTCCGAAGCGCTGATCTGTTATTGGATACATTCAGCATGGAAAATGGCATCCAGCCAAGTCTCCATGGACTGTGGGAGTGCCCTGGTGTGGGAAGAGGGAGACCAGGGTTCCAGTGCCTGCTGTGTCATGAGCTATCTGTGCAACAGTTTATCCCATGTGGCCTTGTTTGTCTCATCTTTCAATGAGGGACGTTTTTAAAAAAAACCTAGCCAATGCCTCAGGTTTTAAGCTGCATAATTCTAGTCACTGCTTTTGAGCTTTAAAAACATATAGGGGTTTTGGACCTGGCCAGCGTGGGAATTTATTTTGCTTGACTAAGCTTGTTATTACAAGGGTTCCTCCTCCCAGGGGGAAGGGAAGTCGGAAAGAAGAAAATAAACCCCTACTGTATTCAAGGCACACGTAGTAGGAGTTGTTGAGCTCGCGCCAACATTTTTATATTATTTTGTGGTTTGCAAAACATCTAATAACAACCTCTGAAGCTGAGGCGGTAGATGATCCACTGGTTACCTGTGGGCCAGCTCAGCGGAATTCAGGGAAGTGCTTCATCCCTAGGCCCACCATAGCCTGCTTTTTCTTTCTTCAAGCATGGCAGGTAGCTTGGGACAATCACCTGCCAAGCTGCTGTGATTGGCAGAGTTGGGCAGAGTGCTCACACAGGCAAAATTACAGCTCCTCGAAGGCAGGGTCATTGATTTAAAAACTCAGACTTCAGAGGCCATGCGGGGTAGACCATTTCTTTGGTAGATGAGGCACTGAGGGCCCAGGGAGCTTGAACAGCTGCCCCAGGCTCACACAGGTGCTGTGCTTGAAGTGTGCAGCCAATGCTTCTGATTCTGAAGACATTTCAGAAGGAGAGGTTTTCCTGTGCATGTGGCAGAGGAACCTGGTAATGTACAAAAAAGGTTCTGGGTTCAGGGGAGCAAGACAGAGTGATTTGACTGTAAGGAGGGAGGGTAAAGGTGTTGACCTGCGGGCAGATGTTCAGGGTAGGGAGGGAGTCACCACTTAGCAGATGGAGGAGGATTCTCCTTGTACTGTTTGCATGAGGGAGATCTACATGATGATATTTTTCACAAGAGTCATTCAGGCTTCTGGGATAGCCCTCATGTTGACCCTTTGAATCAGCTCTCTATGTTTACAGCTGACAAAATGGAAGCAGAGAGAGACAGGGAGGAGGAGCATTTTCCCAGGTTTGTGCCTTGGCCATATGGCCTTTGTAATTGACCTGTAGTGGAGCTCTCTATAGTGTGGTATGGATGTAGCTCTTCCAGAGCTGAATTCAGAGACTGTTTGGGAGGAGAACCCTTTTCCGTGACTAAAATTAAAGCCCAGTTGGACTAGAAACTCTTAATTTCTCCTAATTCTTGGGAAAGTAGCCTGGATAACATTTTTATCTTTTGTCATCCTATGCTTGCAGACTTCTAGGCAGGGTTCTGTCCAAAGATTTTTACCCTAATTTTGCAAATAAATTCTAGAGAGCCTGGATACAAGTGACTTTCATAAAGGTGAATGAAAACTGTTTCCTGGGGTTCCTCCATGTGCTCTGGTTTGGGGGTAGTAGCACCACCAGCAGGTTAATGTTTATGACTTACAGTGGGTTCAAATCCCCACTCTCTTGCTTGCTGTTTGTGTGACCTTAACCTTGATGAGCCTTAGCGTCGGGCTAGATTGAGAGCCTGAGGGTCACTTGAACTATAAATCTATGATTCTGGGTTCCTGCCATCTCCTTTGTAGAAGACAGGGTTGAGTAGTGGGAAGAGGCCTAGATTTGGGGTCAGATCGTGGCTCTGCCACTTACTGGCTATTTGACTTCAGCCAAGTCACTTCTCTGTGCCTCAGTTTCCTCCAATTGTAAAATGAGAGGGTTGGACCTCCAGGGTTGCTTCCCAGCTTTAACTCTTTATGTTTGATCATTTGATCTTCACAGCAATCCTGAAAGGAAGGGAAGGCAGATGATTATAGATGAAGAAACTGAGGTTTAGAGATCTCAGATGTCTTGCCCACCAAGATGGAGGCAGGTCCCAGATCTTTTTCTCTCTTCATGTGCAGGGCTTCCTCCATCATGCTTTGCTGAGTCTTCTAGTACTACTACTATTGCTACAAACAGGATTCTGTGGCAAGTTTTCCTTTACCAACATTTAGCTCACAATTTCATTGTCTTTTTATCTGTCTAAACTTTCCTTTTTCTGATAATTCTCTGTTTACTAGGTTTTGTTTAGATTTCTGTTAGCTACTCACACTCTTTAATATGATGCTAGATGAAGTTAGAGGGAATCTTCCACATCCTATTGCCCCAAACTACATTGTTCTTACAAAAAAGATATTCATACATGATATCAGATCCCCCAGTAGGAGGAACCTTGCTTAGCTGACAACATTAACCCTTCAGAACCTCATTCCTGGGAATCTTAACTGCCTATTTTCAGTCGGTTGGTCAATAAACCTTTTTTAAGCACCTACCACTGGTGCTAAGCCTTGTCACATTTCACTTCATATCAGGTTTTCAAGGAATCAGCAGTGTTAGTTGGGGGTGGGGTGCTGCCTGTACCCAGTATGGGTTTTGTCTTTTAATTGTTCAGTTAAGTACAGTAAGGTAAATGAAGCACAAATCAAGAATGTAATTGATAATCCAGAAATCTGATGATTATTTGGAAAAGTGTTAAGTTCTTTGGTAAAAGAAATGACAAAGACAGACATTTGCGTTTAAAGATGAAGCAGTAAACACTGAATTTTCATCCTATTCAAAGATTCGATTGTTTTAGTTGGAAATTAGAGTAGTCTGAAGATCCACCAAGAATTAGCTTGCTAGCATATGTTTCAGGTTCCTTCTATGTGTTGCAAATTTGAGAGGGTTATTTTTCATTCCGTCATTCTCAAGAATCTTTAAAATACATGACAGCAAATCAACAACTAATATTTTTGTCTTATTTCAGTGAACAATGTGGGAATGTCATATGAGTATCCCGAATACTTTTTGGAGATTCCAGACCTGGATGATGTAAGCTATTCTTAAAACATCTCTGAAAACAAATATGTCAAATCTCTCTAGTGGTAGGACAGACACAGTCAAGCTGGCATTAACATGGAAGAAATGATTTCCTCGATGTGGTTATGCTTTTCCCTTAAGTAAGAACTGTGTAAACATGTCAATGAGGGAACGGCTTATTTTAACTCTCGGGGGGCCTCAGAGCATTTTGCAGAGGGCTCCCATGTTTTTTCAGGTGAAGGTAACTGTGTTGAAGTTGAATGGGCCCACTGAAGTCAGTGGTTCTCAAAGGGGGCAGAAGGTAGAATTCCAGGCCCAAGGACGCGTCCCAGTCTTCTGACTCTCCCTGGGATCCTCACGTCACGGATCATGTTGTACCATAAGCAGAAGTGTCGGAGAAGCGCTGTTGAAGTTGGACGCTGTAATTTGAAGGGAGAATAACAGTAGAGAAAGGACCTCAGGGGCCATCAAGACTAGCCTCTCCTTCCATTTTACAGAGGAAGAAACTGAGGTCCAGGGAGTTTTGTTGAGTTAACTGATGCTACACGATTCTGACTTAAGAAGAAACCTAGTACTGCATGTAGCGCTTTTCCCAGGTGACTGATGAAGTCAGCCCCACCACGTTAGTAGACTGTTCTAGCCGTGGCGTTAACCCGTGGGGGAGTCAGCCACAGCAGGGAGTGGCGTTGGGACCTTTTGTCCACCTCTCCTTACTGCCTTATTCTTGGCTTCCTCTAAAAGGGCATAATAATACGTGTTCCACTGACTTTCCATGCAAGGTAGCTGTGAGGTAAACCCTTCATAAACCGTAAAATACCACAAAAATGTGAGTTCTTAGGACACTTTATTTTTGTTCTCACTCATTTCTGCCCTCATTTTAAGGACTTCACATTCTCGGCAAATTTCAGAACATCTTTTCTACCTTCGGTAGATCTGTAATGTCATTAGGTGAACTACTTGGAAAGTAATGTCTCCTTTTTTTTTTTTGCAGATTATCAATAAATTGATAAACACTAACATCTTCTCTGTTTGTAGGGTAAGTGGTTTGTTTCTTAATACATATTTTCAATTTAAGTCCTGTTTGAAAACAGTACAAAATCTCACCTTGTTCATGAGAGCCCATTATCATTGACAGGTAGGTAACATTGTACCATGCCCTCAGAGACCTTTGCTTCCTGCTGCCCTGCTGAGATGTGGTCAGAGAACGTTGGTTAATTTTAATATTGGTCCAAGTTATATATACTCAGGAAGGCAGGTCTGCCAAGAAACGTGCTAAATGGTATACCAGTGTGAAAGAAAAGAAATAGTTTGAGTTATTCACATCCTTGCCCAAAGGACTCCATAACCAAGGGGTCAACTGGTGTTAGTAGTGCTTGGGGTGTGAAGGCCGTGGGGACCAGGCTTGGGCTGAAGATGAATATCATTGCTCTAGGCTAAGGACTTAGGCTGGGGGAGCTACCGAGGACAAAGAGGAGGTCATTCAGGGCTCCCTCACGTGCAGGACTAGTGATGGATGGATACTCAGCAAATAAAGTGATCTACAATGCCATAGGGCGCGAGGCTAACCCCTAGGGACGTAGAAGTAGACTGCCATCCTTGCCCTCAGAGAGCTTACTGCCACAGGTCATTGAGAATGCCTATACGATCTCATGAAATTGGAGTCATGGGAGAGAACCTGGTTCCAAATTCATAAGAAATCCAGTCCTTCAACGATCTGTGAGTGTGTCTGGCAGGTCAACACTCCACTGAGACATAGTTGACAGTCTTTGAAAGTTTGCAGGGGTTGGGGCAGCTAGGTGGAGCAGTGAATAGAGCACCGGCTCTGGAGTCAGGAGGACCTGAGTTCAAATCTGGCCTCAGACACATGACACTTACTAGCTGTGTGATCCTGGGTAAGTCACTTAGCCCCATTGTCTAGCCAAAAAAAAAAGAAAGAAAAGAAAATTGCAGGGGTTTCTCTGCCTGAAATATTTATCACTTGTGTCTCCTAGGCTGATGTGCCTCCCTGAAACTGGCTAGGAGGGTCCTTGAGTGAGCAGCCTCCAGAGCCTGTGCACGGCCAGTCTGGGCTCCTTCCATGCCAGGAGGTGGTACAGGAGGGGTACTTGGCGGGGTGGGGGGGGAGGAAAAAGGCAGATTGTAGAAAGTGCTGTAGTGCTTGAGGGTAATGAAGTCATAACACCTCATTTAAACGAAGGTTTAATGCCTGTGGAGTCAGGCTGTTCTCAAACTCTGGCCTGATTGCTAGTGTGGGATAGCAGGGTGTGCTCCCAGCGCTCTCCTGTTTTCCCTTGGGGAGTAGGAAGCTGGCTGCTGAATAGATTATCTAGTACCTGGGGATCCGGGATCTCTCCTTAGGATTTATTGCCTATGAACTGCCTGCCCCCTCTCTGTGAAATCTGACACTGGACCTGCAAATGCCGTGGAAACAAACAGCAGGGTCTGCAGCATGGCACAGGGGACTGACGCCAGTTCACCGGGTTCGTGGCCTCCTTGGCCCATGTGGATACTCTCTTGGCCTGTTATTTGAGGACTATGCAGCCAGAAACCTTTAGCCACTAGCATCCAACCCTGAGAGGGAGGTGCTCGTATTATCCTTGTTTCTGATGGGGAAACTGAGGCAAACAGGCGAAGTGACTTGCCGCGGGTGGCACAGCTACTAAGTGTCTGAGGCTGGATTTGAACTTGGCGCTCCCTGCCTCCAGGCCCCAGTGCTCTGTCCATTGTGCTGTCTAGCTACCTGTGATAGTTTGGCCCGAGGGTCCTTGTTCCTCCCTCCCGACTCTCCCATCCCCCTGCCTTTGCTCAGGCTGTCGCTCGTGCCTGAAATGCCCTTCCTCTTCAGCTCTAGCTCGTGGAATCCCTTGCTGCCTCCACAGCTCAGTGCAAGCACCACCTTTCTTCATGGAGTCTTCTCTGACTGCCAGCCTCCCCTTGCACCCCAAGCAGCCTTGTGCTGCTTTTGTATGGTTCTCTGTGTACTTGTGGACGCATTTCCTCCCCCTAGCAAAGTGTGAGCTCCTTGAGAGCAGGGGTCGTTTCATGTTTGGTTTTGCATTTCCAGGGCTTAGCACAGTAAGCTTCTGATAAGTCCCTTTTCATTCGTTCATGTCTCCACTGCTTAGCACAGAGCCGGTACACAGTAAGCTCTTAATCAGTCCTTTTCCATTTGTTCTGTCAGTCATTCGTTCATATTGCCAGTGTTTTACATACAGTAAGGGCTTACTAAATGTTTGTTGGTTGATTGACTAGGCGATGGACTAGGTCAGTAATTGTCACCTCTGGCTGAGCTATTGGTTGCAACTAGAACTTGTGGCTGTGGAGGAGGGTCTAGTGGCCAGGGCTTGGTCAGATGAGAGAGCTGGAGGGCAGTGCTGGGGGCCAAAGAGGGGCAGGGACCCCAGGGACAGAGCAGTGGTGCCTGTACCCACGCAGGGCCCAGAGCAGTGGTCTGGACTGTCCGGCTCTTGAGCATTGAATGATCGTCTTGGGCACGTGATTGCATTTTAGGGGAGACTTTAGCACAGTTTTGAACATACATAGATTTTAAGTGTGTAGCTTACCCTCTCACCAGAGAAAGTGTAGGGTATAAATGAACAGGATCCATCTTCTTTAGATCCTTGTGCTGTGGGCATAAGGCAGTCCCTGCAAAGGCTGCTTTTGAGGACCTCATTCTGTGCTACCGTTTTGTCCCTAGCAGCCTTACAGGGTTTATGTTTCAGTTCTCTTATGGATGAAATATGTGTTTACTGAGGGTGCTCTCAGTCTGGCAAAAGGCATGGAATGTGCCATCAGAGCACCAGCAGAGGGAGCCCTTTGGTAATCCACCATGGGAGACTTGCAGTGGGTGGGAGGAAAGGCCTTCTACCCAGCAATTGACTCCTGGATGTTTCAGAGAAATGCACATCAGGCTCCGTCCCTTTTGTGGCTTTAAGGTGATTCTCATAGTAAACAAGTAAATTTCAATATCATATTACTTTTTTCTAAAGAGATGTTTTCTGCATGTGATACTGACTTAGTATCATGCTTCCTGTTTAATTCATTTTGAAATCAGCCATTAATCCTCTGATCCACTAGGATGTGCATTTTGGAATCATTGGGGACATGTTTAGCTTGACATGAAAGATCTGTTCAGTGGTAGTCATGTCAACTGCTGTAGACATAACTAAGTAAATGATGGGTGGTCCAAATCTTTAGGGTGAAGGGTTCATGTGGGAGCAAAAATATGGTAGAACCTCGTTGGGAAAATTAAGGCATTGTCCACAAATCTGACAGATGCTGACACTTTGGGGAAAGTGCAGTATTTGGTATAAACTTAAACAGTGACACCTTGAAAGGTCTTTGTGGATGAAATGGCTAAGTTTTAGGAAAAAATCAGTTGTGCCACACCTCATTAGAGTAATTACCTCATCCGAGTAATGTCTAGTTTGGTAATGCCATATATAGATTGTTTTTGTATCTACTTGGAGTTTTCAAATGAAAGATTTGGGGCTAAAAAATGAATCGGTATGGGGAGTGATCTGTTATGGCTTATGGCTACACACACACACACACACACACACACAACACACACACACACACACACACACACACGTGTCAGGTGTCAGTGTGGTATGCTAGAGCAGAGCCCTTGGCATGAGGATGCGAGGCACCAGTCTTGTTCTGCCATACCTCGCCTCCTTACTGCAGGGTGACTGTGGGCGGGTCCCTTAACCTCTCTGAGCCTCAGCTTCCTTATCTAAAAAGTAAAGATTTAGTCATTGCACCTGCTTGTCAGGATTGTAAAACCTAAAAGCAGTATATACATGTGATTTGTTATGAATAAACTATAAATATGAGCTATTTTTAGTATTGCACATTAGTAGTAAGCATCATGATCCTGGAGGCCGGAGAATAATGGAATGTGTCTTCCTCCTCTTTGTAGAGACAGCGACTGTGGGGCTGCAGGAGCACAGTGGTGCATGTGTCATTCTGACGCCACCACTGTTCCTGTTGTTTTTGCTTAATTCCGAGGTGGGGTCAGTATGAGGGTGTAGAACAGCGGGGAATGGTGAAAACCGCCCAGAAACACCAATGTTGTAAAAATAAAAGCCATCCAAAAACACATTTTAAATAAATAATTAGCATGTTATTTTTTTCCTTTAAAAAGTGGGTTTCTTTTCTATGTATGATAAACTGGGATTTCACTGCAGGAGGTCTATGACAATCCTGGTAGGCTCTCTAAGGAAATACAAGCTGGGACATGAAGAATGTTCTCTGTTTTATAGAGCGTAGGGGGAAATTTTCCATCCTGAATGACGTGGGGCGGGGTCTTTGGGGGAGGACTGCTCGTACCACAAAGACTTATAATAACTACACAGGGGACAACACAGGGGCTCTTGGTTGTTCACCTGAGGATCTCAAAGCACCTTACCAACTTGATTTAATTAAGCCTTCTGCCCCCTGTGCAGTAAGTATTATGTTGGCCTCACAGATGTGATTCTAAGAATTTCTAATCAAATTGTGCTCCCAGTAACGCAGAGCTCAAATTATACAGCCTTCCAAAGGTAATGTGCGTTGGATTGCTCTGGTGTGACTTCCAGGAGAGCTGCTGCCTCATTACTGCCAAACACATACTGTAACACCCTTATTACCTGGTTGATTTCAGATCACTATTATAATGGAATTTTAAAAATTATTTTGTAACGAATCTACTTGTGGACTGGTTAAAAGCATTTACTTCTAAGAAACTCTTGACTTCAAAATGGCACAACTCTTTTCTTACTTGTTTGAATTGGGGCAGTGTTTTTTAACAGTTGGTCATCGTGTTTATTTGGGGAGAGTGGGATCGTGCCCAGTTGCCCTAAACCTGTGTGCCCGGGAAGTGCGGGGTCTGACGTGCCTCACTCAGGCACACACCGTAGACACACAAGTCGTCCGTGCCGCCCCACTTTACTAAACAGGGACTCTGATCTGTACAGAGGTGACCGCGTACCCCAAACTGGCCGCCAGATCTATGGTAAAGCTCTAACGTTGAGTGAGCTCATGGATTAGGGA